GCTGCGCGCCGTGGTTGTTCCGACACGGGGCTGGTGCAGATTTACACGTTGTTTTTTTCCTAGTTAAAGTCTGTGATGGATTTAAAATCCACGAGGATTATTTTTTTTTTTTCCCTCTAATAGCACTTATTTGCAGGATTAAGCTCTCCATTATTTGATGTTTATTCTTTCTGTGTTTTTATAGGAAAATGGAAATCGCCACCCCTCCAACGTCAAAGTGTATTATATACTGGAAAAGAAAAGTCAAGTCTGAATATATGCGTCTTCGGCAGCTCAAGAGGTTTCAGGCGAACATGGGAGCTAAGGTAAAGACATAACGATGGTAGCTCTACCTGTAAGGATATCTCCTAAAGGCTTTACCTCACAGTATTTGAACAGCTCTCAGATGGGTGCTTCATCCTGCGAATCGCACAGCTATATTTTAGTTGTAAGCTGGGTAAGTTTGAAGAGATCTAACTTCCTCTCACGCTCCGTTATTAGCCTAGAGCCGTGCGGTCAGTGTCTGTTGTACGGACGGAGAAGTCCGTTGGCTGAGTGCTCGCATAACCGCAACGAGAGGACTCATTTCCGCTTGTTCTTTAAAGAATCTCTTTGCTTGAACCTTCTCCGTGCTGGTGGGTTTCAGGTGACTTACTCTGATGCTCCTCTCCTTGGCAGGCAGGATTTTCGAAGAGGTTGGCTGGGATCAGGAGTTCTCAAAAGCTACTGGCTGTTGGGCAGATTTTCAGCACAGTTTTGTGCCCGTGTCAATTTTAATTAGAATTTCTTCTAATGAGCATCATCAATTTGAAATGCTCTGCGTGGCATACGCTTTGATACTTGAAACAAAATCTCAGGAGGGGTTTTAGTGTCCTCAACGTGATTTCTTAAATTTTTGAGTGCTGCTTTCTCTCGTTTCAGGCTCTGTTTGTGGCCAACTTTGCAAAGGTTCATGAAAAGACTCAAATTCTGAATGAAGACTGGAAGAAGCTTCGAGTCCAGCCGGTGCAGTTGATGAAGCCGGTCAGCGGGCACCCGTTCCTAAAACAGGTATGGAGCGGAGAAGGGGCACGGCAGCAGGAAGGGTGGACTAGAACCAGGGCTTTGCATGGACCTGTGAGGATACGGGTTCGGTTTTTGTGTGCACTGTCTATGGCGATGTCAGGCCGTACCTCGTGCTCTTCTGAGATGCAGAAATGGGAAAAAAAACCCAAACGGAAGGCCTTTCCCGTGAAAGGAGTCCCAAAGTAGTAGTGAACGCAGGGCTTCGCTGTGTTTGTCCTGAAGCGCGGTTTCCCCCTGGATGCGACCACCTCCCGGGGCGGTTTCCTCACTACCCTTCTCTGTACTCATATTCCAGTGTACTGTGGAGAGCATTTTCCCGGGATTTCCGAGCCAGACGCTGTACATGAGGACCCTGAACACAGTGGCGCTGGTGCCCATTATGTACTCCTGGTCCCCTCTTCAGCAGAATTTCATGGTAGGTAGGAAGGCTCAGGGGTGCAAGATCTCGGTGCGAATAATTATAATTGTTACGTGGTTGTGGAGTGATTATGCCCTCTTCAACCCGCTTGCTTCAAGTGATGTCTGCTCAAGAGATGATGGAAAGTATTGTTTTAGTTGCTTGTTTTGTTGAATCCCATAAAGCAGCCTTGTATCCATGCTGTCTTACCCAGCTAGTCTCTCCTTTACACCTGATTCCTTGATAGGGCCACCATTATTTTACAGGATTCGTGGAGTAAATATGTTTTGGGGTTCTTTTTTTTGGGGGGGTTTTTCCGTAAGATTTTTCTTCCTTTTTATTTCTTAAGCAGGTCCTTTCCTTTGTGACTGGATTACCCTGCTGGTCTCGTCGTAGGGATGCTACCGAGGATTAGTGCCTCTCTCATAGCAGGGCGGGGAGTGATTTCAAAGCGGATTTTGGTGTGGCGTAGTTAGGATTAGGTGGTCTGTGGGTGTAGCCTGGCTCTTTGCCTGGTGTGGGGCGTGAACCTGTTCCTGCAACCTTGCAGGGCTCTCTGCAGCCTCCGGTAGCAGACTGGGGGAGTAGTGACACCGGCGACTGTAATGCAAAGGGTCGGTCGGTGGTGCCATGGCAATGAGGGTCCAATGTCCTTGCTCCTGTGGTTAACGTGAGAGTGCTCCTCAGCTTTGGCTGTGTTCCTCTGGGGAGCGAGTTACCGGTTTGCCTTTCACTGTTCCGGTTCTACTCTGCCTTGAACACAATCTCCCTGATGTTTTTTGGCTGCTTATTATTCTTGGCAATGTGTGTATTTCTGAGTTTCTGTAAGCCTTGGAGGCACAGCTCTTCTTTTATTAAAGCAAATCGCGCTTCACGGGGTCAGGGTTATGCTGCTGGCGTGGGATAACAATGACATATCAGCGATGAGACATCTGAAACCGCAGCCGGGGAGGCTGAACCTTTACTTTGCACTGTGCTGTCTGCGGGTCTGAGTGGTCAGGAGCAGCCGCAGCCGCGCAAGCCTGGCTGGGGATCAGCAAGCGCTGGTTTTCCAAATTGTATCTGATCTCTTTTTCAGGTGGAGGATGAAACTGTTCTGTGCAATATCCCTTACATGGGAGATGAGGTGAAGGAAGAAGATGAAACTTTCATTGAAGAGCTTATTAATAACTATGACGGGAAGGTTCACGGCGAGGAAGGTAACCTGGGAGCAGTCAGCACTGTCCATTCAGTCTCTTGCAAATAACATATCAAAGTAGTTAAGGAGTCAAAAGGTGGCAGCAGTAACCAGCTTTTCTGTGGGAGCTCTTGGAGCAGAACAACATGGCTGCTGTTCTAGTTTGCAAGGACGCAGTCCTGCCTTTTGATACCCCGTGCCGTTCTAAGCCTGGGGTGCTCTGGAGCTGATGCTCTTGTTCACGGGGGTTCACAGGAGTGCTCTGGGGTGCTGAAAAATGTGCTAGGGGTTAGGAGGAGCTCAGCAATCTCGCTTCGCTTGTGGCCTTAGCCAAGACTTTAATCAGTCTTTTCAGAAATGAGAAGCCAGTGTGTTTCCCTGCAGTGCTGCCTACCCCATCATAACTCTGCCTGGAGGGAGGAAGGTGGTGGAAAACTCTGGTATGGCCTGTCCTCAGATTGCTAAAAATGGTGCGCCACTCTTATGACTCTAGCATTAAAATCCCACCTGTCCCTACAAAACTGAGAGGCAGGTTCTAGTTGCTGACAACGTCGTGTGGCTGGTTTGTGATTTACCCCCACGAGGGGTGTAAAAGATGATGGCGCTCCTACAAAGTGGCTGACATCTCTCTGTTTCAGAAATGATTTCAGGGTCAGTCCTCATCAGCGATGCCGTGTTCCTGGAGCTAGTGAATGCCCTGAATCAGTACTCGGACGAGGAAGAGGAAGGACACAATGATTCTGAGGTTAAACAAGAGGATGGGAAAGAGGAGTTGCCAGTCACAAGGAAGAGAAAGCGCATTGCAGTGGAAGGTGGGTTTGGCTACAGAAACTGGGGCTGTGGTGGCCACGTTTCCATCCTGCCCTGCCCGAGTAGCTGGCCAGCGCTCTCCCACCATCACGCTTGGTTATTAATGTGTTGCTAAGGGCAGTAGCCAGCTTGGCAAGTTCTGGTGATAGTTGAAAGCAGAAGGGAGATCGGTTGTTCTCACTGTCCCCTATAGGCAGGATAAAAAGTCACCAGCTTAAAGTGTGGGGAGGAAGAATTTAGATGAGTCACATGGAAAACCATTTCATGGGAAGGTTAGCAAAGCAGCGGGGTATTTTCTGAGGGGCTGTGGGATCCCTGGACATTTTGAAGTGCCGGTCTGGCGAGCACCTGTCCGTATGTTTAGAGTTAGATCTGATTCTGCTGTAGGCCAGGGAGGTGGATCTTTTCAAATCCCTTCCAGACCTGTTTTCCATGTATTAGTGTTCCACTTCCCTCTCCCATGCCACCTGGAGTTCGTGTTGCATAGAGGAAGCTCTGGTTTGTGGGATTTTTCATGTGTTCTGCATGACCTTAGGAATGCTGACTGGTAGTTTTGTCTTTGTGTTTGGTTTATAGTGATACGGGTAGCACAAATACCAGCACCTCTCGTAGATGTAGAAAAGCATTGTCTGCAAATCCTGTCTTGGTAAAAATAAATAGTAATAGTCCTTAAAAAATCATTAGTACTTCCATCAACACATTTCTGAAAGTGGCAGAGCGTGCTCTGTATCTGGAACTGCCTTCGCCTAGTTGTAGGACAAAAGGTTTATCCATTGTATATGGGATTATCTTTCTGTCTCTTAAAATACAATCCTGAACACGTACTGGAATCGCTCTCTGTGGAAGAAGGAAAGACACATTCACATCCAGCTTAACTGAGGGATTGTCTCTTCTTTTTCTTAGGTAACAAGAAGTGTTTGAAGAAGCGGTTTCCAAATGACATGATATTCACTGCCATTTCTTCTATGTTTCCTGAATACGGCTTCCCAGATGATATGAAAGAGAGGTAGAAGATCTCTACTTAAGTTGTCTGTTACCTTTATTAGCCACAGTTGAAATCTGTATTTCAGAAAACTGCACTGTGCTCTGACCAGAAAGTAGAGCTCAGCTGGCTGCAGGCACCATGAGCAGAGCGATTTTTGAGCGTTAGAAACGTTAGTTTAGCCTCAAGGTATCTGGGACAGAGTCCTACTGGCCCAGATAGTAATGTAGTCGTGTAAAATGTCCCAAATTAGGAAAGCAGGCACATCCGTGGGTGTTTCTGTTTGTCGAATAGGTACCGGGAGCTCACGGAAGTGTCGGACCCGAACGTGCTGCCGCCGCAGTGCACTCCCAACATAGACGGGCCGTGCGCGAAGTCGGTCCAGCGGGAGCAGTCCCTGCACTCCTTCCACACCCTCTTCTGCCGCCGCTGCTTCAAATACGACTGTTTTCTGCATCGTAAGTGCAGTCTCGGCCGGACGCTTCCCTAGAGCCCTTTTCTCCTCATTTTTCCTCAGTGCTTCGTACCTCTGTACGCCTTGCTTAGTGTCTGTGCTGCAGCCTTTAGAGGGTGGTGCCTCCCCGGAGTTTGCAGTGGAGCCTTAGGAGCTGACAGGTGCCCAGAAGCATTTTGTAAAGACGGCTCCACTCATTTCCTCAAACGGATGGTAAACCGACCTGCGTGGCCGTCCCCTCTTTCTCACCATTGCTCAGCACGCCGCGTTCGAGCCTCCTGGCAGTTTGTGCCAGAAATACTGCCGCGACTAGACTTTACCCTTGCTTTGCAGAAGCTCATCAGGGGAAGGCATGAATGTTTCACTTCCAAAGTCTGGACATGCCCCTGTGTTTTGTTGCCTCACTGGAACTTACAGCTTCATCTTAGTCATGTTCCTGCGGTTTGTCCTGCCAAAGCCTTTTGGATACTGATTAGCTGTTGGACCTGCTGTTTCTCAGGTCTAAGGGCTTCTTTGGAAAGTCACAGGACTCTTTCCAGTGAATTATTTATTAAAAGATATAATATTAAGATCATGTGGTCTTTTTTTTTTTTTTTTCTCAGTCTGAAAGCAGATCTTTTTGCTTCCCAAGCGTTCCCCCAGTGCTGCTGAGTCCTGGGTTGGAGCAGGGCTGGCCGGGGGGGGGTCCTGCCGCCTCGTTCCCCGCTGCTGGGCGAGGCGCTCG